CGGGGCCGGGGCCCCGTGGAGTGTCCTCTTTTGGGACACTCCACATATGGTAACCCTAATTTAACGCTTTCAAGCTCAAAGACATACTTCTACTGTTGCACAGGAGCATATTGCCACTCATTCAGTTGTGGACAGCAAGTCACAATACAACTTCTTTCAGTAAAGGGCCTCCCACAGAGAGCATATACATTTAGTAGCATTCTGTGGCCTCTGACCTGCCTCTGACACCTTCCCAGTAGTCGCTAGGAAAAATGTTGCAGTACACTACAGTTTATTATCATAATATCTACCATGCAAGGATTTGCAATATGTACTAGGTAAAATGTACTGCTGTAGATCCACGCTCACTTCCTGTGACTCTCCAGTACTCTAGATCTTCTGCCATATTCCTACATCTGAGTAACTGGTATTTTGTTGTATTACCAAAGGAGACTCTTAATTGTGTTTAAGATTTGGAATCCAAAGAGTGAATTTTAAGGCTGTCCATCCTTTTATCTTTTCTTCTCCAGGAGACGGTCCCTTTCCTGGGATCATTGACATACATGGACGTGGAGGAGGTCTGTGGGAATACAGAGTCAGCCTGCTGGCCTGTCGCAGCTTTGGTACACTGCCTCTGGCTTATTATAGATATGAGGATCTTCCCAAAGTGTTGACTGAAATCCATCTGGAGTACTTTGAAGAAGCTGTGAACTACATGCTGCAACACCCACAGGTAGGAACACTTGTCAATGCTCCTTCCGATAAAGGGAGCTCTCATAAGGTTCTGCTTTAGAAATCCCTTTGGCACATAGGGTATGTCTAGTCAGCAATTAAATACCCGCAGCTGGCCTGGGCCAGCTGACTTGGGCTCATGGGCTGTAAAATTGTGGAGTAGGGTGTTTGGGCTCAGGCTGGTGCCCAAGCTCTGGGACCCCATGAGGCGGGAGGGTCCCAGAGTCTGGGCTCTAGCCCAAGCCCAAACAACTTCACTGCCCCACAGCCCAAGTCCTGCAAGCCTGAGTCAGCTGGCCTGGGCCAGATTTGGGTGTTTAATTGCTGTGTAGACATATCCCTAGTTGCCTGTTTAGAATCCCAGCTCTACTAAAGTCCATAGTGAATTACTCATCTCCCTACCTCCCTCAGTCCCATATGAACAGTTTTCCTAATGGTTCATTTAAGCTTCACCTTACAGTTGAGCCCATCACATGACCAATCACTGCCCAGTACTGCATCAGACCATAAAAAGAGATGTAAAGGTATGACTATCTAGAGCTGATTCAGAGCTAGCTGCACACAGAGAAAAAGTATCTACAGTGGTTTTGCAGAGTAATAATTTGGTATTTGTAAAATGCTTTCAGATCCCCAGATGAAACGCACCATAGAAGTGTATATATTATTAATCAAAAATGTACATTTTCCGTATCTCTAACTCCAGTGGTTGGTGTTCCTGCTCATTGCTACTACGGCAACCTCAATCTGAAGTACTTAGTTATTTGGGGACAAACTATTAGTATTATAAAGGATGGTTATTTTTACACAAATGTAGGTTAGTCACTTTAGTGATATAAATGTTGGGAAAGTGCAACCCAGAAGTCAAAATGAGGCAAAAAATGGGTGGATGCAGCTATACAAGAGGTGTGAGGAATGCAAATACACCTCTAACCCGATATAACGCTGTCCTCGGGAGCCAAAAAATCTTACCACGTTATAGGTGAAACCGCGTTATATCGAACTTGCTTTGATCTGCCGGAGCTCGCAGCCCCGCCCCCCGGAGCCCTGCTTTACCGCGTTATATCCGAATTCGTGTTATATCGGGTCACGTTATATCGGGGTAGAGGTGTATATATGTACTGTTGGTTACATACACATGCATTCATGGCATAACCATGCCCAAGGGTCACTAGCACAGGTGTCCATGTTAAACTGTCCACTGTCCAACTCTGAATGTATTTTAGGGTTTGATTCTACTCCTAGTTAAATCAACGGTAAAGCTCCCATAGTAATAAGACCAGGAGCAAGCAAATGAAATACTCCTGTCCACACTTTACAATTGCTGGTGGTTGCTCTGGGTTGCGGGGATCAGTTCGGCTAATTCTGCAATGTTTGAGTATGCTAAAATATACACTTCAGAGCATGTGCTGAGTGTATAGGCTATACCATATTTATAAGCTGCCCTTGGGTGACAGTATATAACATGTGAGAAAAGAATTAAGGAGGAATTTCATGTAACACACACTGCACAGCCTATTCATCAAAGCAGCTTTTAGGAGATTGCCATCAGATTGCACAGGGACCTGCCTTCTAACTCATTATGACAAGTTGATAGTAACGAGTATCTGCCAGTCCCTGACCCGTAGAGCCCTCAACCAGTTCCTGCAATCTGCCCTCAGATCTGTCCTCTCTGATATCAATTATCTTTCCACAGTGTCAGTAGTTCGTGGCCTAATGACTGGAATTAGAACCAGAATTTCCATGCCAAAGGAAATTCCAACATTTTGAAATTTCTTTTCACTCTGATTTGGAGCAAGAAGTAGCAATTTCTAAATTTCCTAAGTATAAAATTTCTAAAAACATTTCATTTTGAAAATATCAAAACATTTCATTTAAAAAATCAAAATACTTTTTTTTATTTTGACTTTTTAAAAATGTTTTATATTTTATTTTACATTTTTATATTTTATTATAAATTTTATATTAGTATTTTTATTTTTAAATTATTTGAATCTTTTTTGAATATTTTATGTTAACATTTCTTTTATATAACACAAATTACCATATCTATTAAACCAATAAGTATAGAATAACAATCCACACTGATCAATTGTAATTGATATTTTAATCACTAATTGGTAATTGGTTTAGTAATTGTGAAAAGCAGAAATTGTTTTTCTAGGACATTAAAACTAGCTGTTACTCTAATTAGTACTGAGTAAAACATCTTGGCTTCTTTTCTTGTTCAAAGGATCAAAATGTTTAATTAGAAGTACAAACAGGAAACATTTTGAACAAGCAAATAAACTAAGCTATTTTGCTCACTACTATTTAAAGTAGCAGCTGGGTTTAATAGCCTGGAATCACTTTTCTGTTAATAATTACCAGTTTTAACACCGCTTACAAATGACCAGAGTGGGTTGTTGTTATTCGGTGGGAATTGCTTTGGTACTTGGTATTATATATTTTAAACACTAAATTTTAAAAAATACTATACTATATAAGCAGCTTGGGGAGATGGCTCTTTGGACATCGGGCACCCTAGGCTGCCCGAGTTCCCAATTCCCCAGGCTGCTCGACTCCCAGGAAAGCTGGCTCCCAAAGCTGCCCAATAAGCAGTCATCTGGCTATCCTGGCAATCTGGCAAGTGAATTGCCTGGGGAGAATGGGGAGTCGACTGCCATGGGTTCAGAAAAGAGCCAAAAGACTATTTCAGAATCTGAAAAATCAGCCTCACTGAGAGATTTAGGAAGCTCAATCAATTAATTTTCTCAAAGGGAACGCTGAAGGAGATATCTAACTCTAGAGAGGTTAGTAACCTAACGGACAAAGGCATAAAAAGTTGGTTAAAAATTCAGATTAAACCCATAAAGTGCTTATTTTTGATAATAATGGCATTTATGATTGGAAAAAATTTCCAAGGCATGTGGTGGATTTTCCGTCACTTGAAGGCTTTAAAGGAAGATTCCATGTCTTTCTAAAAGACATGGTCCAGATCAGTAAAGAGTTAGGGGCTGATGCAGAAATTATTAGGTGAAATTCTATGGTCTGTGTAAAGCAGAGCATCAGATTAGATCACAGTGGTCTCTTCTGGCCTTAAAAATCTATGAATTACATTAAAGACTGGCCCCTGAGCTGATTCTGTGTAGTAGAAAAATTTAGCACTGCCCATCATGACTTACACCCGTAATATCACTGATTGTAGTCACAGAGTCTACTTGAGCGTTGCCCTTTACCTGCATATTCTGTAATCATTTACATTAGTTTAAATGTGGATCCCAAGTCCTAACATCAGAATGGAAGGATTTACATCCATTTTTCACAAATATAAATGAATACAAAAGGTGCAGGTCACCAGCAGTGAATCAGATCCATTGTATTCATTTATCAGAGGGGTAGCTGTGTTGGTCTGTATCCACAAAAACAACAAGGAGTCCGGTGGCACCTTAAAGACAAATCACTGGCCATCACGTATAGCCTCTAGCTAAAACCTCTCCGGCATGTCATCAACGATCTACAACCTATCCTGGAAAATGATCCTCTCACAGACCTTGGGAGGCAGGCCAGTCCTCGCTTACAGACAGCCCCCCCAGCCTGAAGCAAATACTTACCAGCAACTACACACCACACCACAGAAACTCTAACCCAGGAAGCAATCCCTGTAACAAACCCCGTTGCCTACTCTGTCCGCATATCTACTCTAGCGACACCATCATAGGACCCAATCACATCAGCCACACCATCAGGGGCTCATTGCCGCATATCTACTAATGTGATATATGCCATCATGTGCCAGCAATGCCCCTCTGCCATGTACACTGGCCAAAATGGACAGTCTCTACGTAAAAGAATAAATGGACACAAATCAGACATCAGGAATGGTAACATACAAAAGCCAGTAGGAGAACACTTCAATCTCCCTGGACATTCAATAACAGATTTAAAAGTAGCCATCCTTCAACAAAAAAACTACAAAAACAGACTTCAAAGAGAAACTGCAGAGCTACAATTCATTTGCAAACTTAACACCATTAATTTGGGCTTGAATAAGGACTGGGAGTGGCTGGCTCACTACAAAAGCAATTTTCCCTCTCTTGGTATTGACACTTCCCTCATCAATTATTGGGAGTGGACCATATCCGCCCTAACTGAATTGGCCTTGTCATCACTGATTCTCCACTTGTAAGATAACTCCCTTCTCTTTATGTGCCAGTATATTTATGCTTGTATCTGTAATTTTCACTCCATGCATCTGAAGAAGTGTTTTTTTACTCACGAAAGCTTATGCCCAAAAAATCTGTTAGCCTTTAAGGTGCCACCGGACTCCTCATCGTTATTGTATTCATTTGTTATTGTGGCAGGTGTAAGTGCAAGTATAAGTGCAAACCAACTTCCCTATGAGTCCGTATTGGATCCAGCAGAGTATAGGGGGAGATATGATGACACAGAGATACTGTCATTCTGATGTTACACAAAAATTTTTTGGTACTACATAAAAAACTTTTGGGGCCCTGCCACAGCATTTTCATAAGAATCAGAGAGTCAAACCCCAGGGTCCTGACTATGTTCCAGTTTGGGAAATTCCATTCTGCCAGTTGAATTTCCTTTGTGATTTCAACAGGATACTGGATTATTCTTCACTTCCTGTTGTATATACTTGTATGTATTTACATTGCATTACTAAACACTTTCATACCGAGCTGTCTGCCCTTCAGTGATAGCTGAATAGATTTCTACATTGGAGACACACTCAGTGTGAAATCTGGGATCTAGTAGAATGAGAAGGAAAAGAAAAATATCAGATCATTTAGTTTTCAGCTCAGTGCTCACTGGAATTTCCCTCCCTTTATCCATCAGGTAAAGAGTCCAGGAGTTGGGCTACTTGGAATCTCCAAAGGAGATGAACTGTGTCTCCATATAACCTCTTTCTCTAAGAACATCACAGCCACTGTCTCCATCAATGGCTCCATGATCAGTTCACCCCCCGACGGCCATTACAAGGATGTGACCATCCATCCTCTGTTCCTATGACCTGAAACGTATCAGATCACAGAGTCTGGATTTCTAGATATTTTGAACATGTATAACGACCCATTTCATGAGCCTGGTTGCCAAAGCTTGATCCCACTAGAGAAGGCTGAGGGGCACTTCCTCTTCATCGTTGGCAAGGATGATCATATCTTTCAAAGCGAGTATTTGGCTAATAAAGTCTCTCATAATTTGCAGGGTAATGGCAAGGAAAAGCCTGAGATAACCAGTTACCCTGGAGCAGGGCATATTATTGAACCCCCCTTTTTCCCTCTATGTCCAGTGGCAGCATGTGAATTTGTGAACAACCTGGTTGTCGTGGGTGGTGAACCCAGAGCTCACTCTCAAGCACAGGTGGATGCTTGGCAGCAGATCCAAACCTTCTTCAACAAGAATCTGAATGGCAAATTAAGCATAACACATAGCAAGCTGTAACATCTCTGATTTGACATGTCCTTTTACACATAAGGGGTCCAATTCTGCTCTCAGCTGCATTCATGCAGCCCCACTGAAATCTCTGAGTTTGGTTAGCTGTAAGTGTGAGAATTATTTGTCTTAAAGTTTCTGGATTTTCAGTGGATATTTTTGCTATAGGTAGAAAAGAGCAGATACACTTTAAGAGGGCAACTGACAAACCCTAGAGCTAATTTTTAAGAGTAAATTCTGTTCTTCAGTGCTCTCCAATCTTCTCTCTTAGTGTATCTAACTCATACATTACTGTGATATCTAATTGACCCAATGGAGAATAGTTATAAGGCTCTCTCAGATTTCCCCTCACCATAAAGAGATGCAGGGCTCAGCATGCACAGTACATAATTCTACTCAAAATCCTAACTTTAATCTCCTACCTTAGTGCTCAGATACAGTCATAGCAGGCAGGCAGTCCTGAACCAACAGCAAGAGCAGTACTTGCCGCTTGGTAGCTGATTTTAGCTAGGGAGCTGGAGGGCTAACTCAGTCTGAGTGGATAGGGAGTTTTCCCCCAAAAAAATTATATACATTAGCAGTTACTTGGAAGAGGGAAAGGACTAAGCTGAGGGCTATTGCTTCCAGGCACCCAGAGGCCAGTTCTCAGGGAGAATCCTGCATGCAGGCTTGGGATTCAGGAGCTCACCACACAACACATCCTTCCTTTTCAATGGCTGGCTCCAGACTCCTCCTGTAGATTCTAAGGTTGTGTATAAAGGAACAGCTTAACAAGGCACAAACCCTAAAGTTCCCCCTAACTTTTGCAAATCTGTTGCTCTCAGCATTCCTTGGGCTTCTTGGAACTTGATCTGGCTAGGACTGTAGGTGAGCGAGTGAAATCTTTATTTAAGCTTAGAGCAGAAGATTTTTGCAGCTGGATGTGGCAGCTGTCCATACCAATGTAGGCCTTTGGTTTTCTCATGTAAAGAATATCGATAGTCATGAGAAATATTTGGCTATTTTGAACAATAGTATGCTAAGGAGGGCCTTTAAGGCTCTCTGTTTTCAAACTATGCAGACAATCTATTTGGAATGGAGGTATGCTGGTAATGAGAGACATATTTGTCTATGCACATGCAGGTCTGGTCAGGTAAAAGATCTACCACATGATCTATTTTTTGTACCTGTACTGTCACCTGAGGAAAAAAGCTGTTAACCCCATTCCTGGCCTTTTACTGCTCCAGCTTAAAAACTAGAATACTTGCTACATAACGAAAATGCTTTAATTATATGAGCTGTCACCATATTTGCCTGGTCAGCTGCTAAACAAACAATCTTGTCTGACAGGGTGTGTTCTCTACGCAGGCCCTGAATGAGTGAATGTGGGCCTGAGAGGCCAGTCATGTTGTTTGGCTGTACCTGGAGGGTGGGCCAGACTTAAATGAACGTGAGTCCTAGCTGGGTGGTTATTATAAAGACAAGAAGCAGAAGGGGGCTGCTGCAGGCAGAGTGTGAGGAACACGGCAGTCACTCCCTGCGACCAGAGAGGTTGTGAGGAGGAAGCCCAGGAGGAGTTGGCCCTGAGATCCTCTCCTGAATAGGGAAGTATAAAGTGTACAGACATTAAAATGTGGCTTGAAAATATGTTATTAACAACTATAGTTCTCTCTCCCTGTGCTCTTTTAACTGTCTGGTGGCTATCACCCTTAGGCACATTCCAAACCTCAGCTTCCTTTTGGAGTTAAAGACATTGAGCATCAACAGGCCCAACCTAACAGGAGGGACATATTGTCCGGGAAACATTATTTAAGCTAAAGCTAAAATACACAGTTCTCAGGAAAGGAAAGTGCTGATGCTTGACAAGGAACCTTCCAACTATTGTTAGTTTCTCAGACCAAAGGCTCCCATCATTTACTTATAAATAAGACTTCTATGTCTCTGAGCCTAGCTAAGGAGAACCCCTGCCAGCTGACAAAAAAAAAGTAGCTGCTCCCTTTCATGTGCAGAGTACCCTATTATCTTCTATATGTTCATTAAGGCCCAGAGGTGGTTGGGGGGATGACAACATGTAGTTTTAAACCAGTTAAGAATAGTTGCTGGTGACCAAAGAGCCTGAAAGTTCCAGAGGTCAAACTTCCCAAGACCTCAAGAAGCCTTTATAAATGGGTATCTTTCAGCCCTACTTAGAAACTGTACATTTGTTTGCCTTAAGAATCGGATCTACATCTCTCCTTGTGAATAATCTATCTTGTTCCTCCACAGGAATGTCTCATATCCTAAAACATGTCTTGAAAGATGTGAAGTGAAGAGTGTTACATATAATCTAACAATGTATGGATTGTGTCCTCTAGATTTAAAAGACTATAAGAGATTTTGTTTGTTTTCTTTCTAAAATGATTGTTGCACTTTAGAAACCATAAGTATTCTGTGGCACAAAAAGGAATGTTGAAAGATATAAGCACCTAGCCAGGGTATAACTTTGGAATATTAAGATAATTTGCCTCCAAGGGGGCATTTCAATTAACGATTGGGGCTAATTCCGAAATACAATCCATGAATTGAATTAAAAGTGTGACTAAAAGAAGCATCAAAGAAATTTACCATCTACTCGCTATTGACAGAAGCAACTGAGAAATCAGATGGTGGCCCCTTCCAATGAGTCCTGAAATTAGGATATATAAAATTGAGGTCACTATGTGGGACAGTGGAAACCCAGAGCTTGCTGAGTCCCTGCAGAAAGACACTCTCCTCATCCAGGGCCACAGAAGAAGAGCTGGCCAGGCCCCCTCAGACAGCCTCTGCCCTCAGCCAGGGTCACAAGACCAAGAAGAGTTTTGAAGAGCTTTTGCTAGAACTCCATATGGGCAAGACTCTTCCCTCGGCCAGGGTCACAGGACTAAGAGCTGACTGAACCCATAAAGGATCTTACTGATCCCCAATGCCATCAATGCCCAGACCAACCGTGTGGAAAGGACTCTCACCCATCCCAGGGTTAACAGAATAAGAGGAAGTGGTGAGATTTCCTTTCAAAGATTGCATTTCCCCTTCTGTTCTCTAACATACATAACTGAAGGTTATCTTGTTGAGTCTACATTCTTTATTGAGACTCAAGAAACCATATTTTAGATTCTAAATAATGTTATACACATGCCCTGCTTTATATGTCAAATCAAATTGGCCTCAGAGAGATTTGAACCATAACTTTAAGCAGCTGCTTTTGATATTCTAAACTAATTCCTTTTTGGACCAATCAGTTTAAGCAACAGGGACCACACTCTTAGAAGTGTCTTAAAGACAAGTGGATCCTTACATCTTGGAGAAATACTGGAAGTATAATAAATGTGTTCAGTACAAAAGAAGTGGTGATTGATGTCATACATAAATGTAATTAGAAATCATGGTGATTTGCATTGATGTTTGGTGAGGTTGCTGAGTCTCAACCCTAGTCTATAACGATTACTTGCAAGACTGTATTTGTGTTCATTACATTGAAGATTGATTGTGATTACACTGGACTGATGAACTGTTGATTGTATGCTGATGTGTTTCTGGGTGAATTAATAAATTCTTGATAAGTTAAGAATAACCAAGTGTCCTGATTTGAGAAATACTGTCCAAAAAAAAAAAAAAAGGGTTGATATGAAAAGAACCATGCATTAAATCAGACAGCTAATTGTCCCCGGACTCAGTATAAAGGAGTTATCCTATTAGATTCCATTCTCACATTGGCTATCAGACTTACCAAATTGGGAAATCTGATTTATTAGAGTTCAGCTTCAAAATCTATCTGGCATCTCGGCAAAATTCATAAAATTATGAACCCTTTTCACACTTACAAAAGTCTGGCAAGAGACCAGGAGAAACCTGGAGCAGCCATTAGGGTGGAGCAGGCTCTGGGCAGGAGCCCTGATAAAAGGGGAGGATCTGAACTTCCATGAAGAGAGCTCTGAGGGGTGTTCAGTTGAAGAACCAAAACAGAGACACAGAGTACAGAGAGGAATGGAAGGTCAAGCCTGAGGAGGGCAGAAGTTGGGCTTATGTTTATACCTTTAGGTTGGGATTTTGTTGGGGAATTCCAGGGGAGAACCCTGGAAGTCCTGGCCCTGAGAGAAGGTTGAGCCTAGAGAGGTTGTGGGGAGGAAGCCTGGGAAAAGGCCACCACAGGAAGAAGCGTAGGAAGACCTTGGCTGCTGGTTATAGAGTCCCTGGGCTAGAATCTGGTATAACTGGAGGGCTTAGGTTTCCCTACCAGGCACCTGAGAAGGGCACAAGGACAACAGAGAGCCCTGAGAAAAGGGTGTGAGGACCATGGGGCCCAGAGCCGGGGCTGAAGACCTTTTGCCAGTACATGGACCTTTTGCCAGTACATGTTGACTTTTATTTGTGGGACTCTTACCCCAGATGGGGTGGACCTAAATTGTGACCTGCCTAGAGGGCTGAGTTATGGGAGAGACCACCGCAGGGCCAGACCAGCTTTTGGCAGGGGGTGCCAGATGGGCATAGATGACTCGTATGGGCAGGCACAATCTAAAGGGGAGGATACGAGACTGCTCCATGTGTCTCCTCTGCCCAGCGCCCCCCCGCCCTGAACCCAGCCCAGGGCTGCCGCTCTCTCCCCATCCCACCAGAGTTACCTGCAGGGGGTGGGGGACTGTGTCCTTCTCCCGCTGCACCTTCCCCTCCCACCTCCCCCCAGCACCTTTGGCCCCTCTTCCTGGCAGCTGGCCCCAAAGATGAGCGGAACTGAGCCACTTCTCACATGGACTGAAGCTGGCCGCTCTGCCTGAGAGAGTCTGGCTAGGGAAGTGGCGGTGGCAGCAAGATGCCCCCTGCCGGGGCCCGGCTGCCTGGGACGGGGGCTGAGTGAGATGGAAACATGCTGGGGGAAGAGGGGAGACTGGCTCACTCAGACCGTGTCCCCAGCAGCCTGGCCCAGGTGGGGGCAGCCTGCCACTCCCACCTCCCCAGTCGGGCTCTCACAGACAGTCAGCATGCTGCACAGAGTAGTGACCCGGAGAGGCCAGCGT